GGCGCCAGGCATGGGTGCAGTGTTGAGCACAGTGGCCAGTAACCCCTGTTTCGTCCTGTTTCACATGCGGCTGATATCGCGGGAGTGGTTGGACGCGTGACGTTTTGTCAGAGAAGTCGGTCGAGGCGGAGGCGACGAGGTTGTTGCCGAGCCGGCCTTGAGCGAGTCGGAGAATTGGTACTTCGTCCGAGGCTTCACTCGCGGGGCCTCGGACGAATCGGAGAATCGGTAACCCGTTCGAGGCCTTGCGGAGCGGGGCCTCGGCGAGGCGGAGAGCCGTTGCGACGCGTGCTTCAGGCGAGTCGGAGAATCGGCCGAGACCCTGTGATTGTCCTTTGGCTTTGATATTTGTGAGGTCCTAAGCAATCCTTTCGGTTCTTACTTAGGGTACCCCTTTTTATGGTATGCATCAACGGTTGACCAGCTAACTTTACAAATCGTATTTGTAGGTGCGACTCTAGATTTATAGGGGTGGCTGGATATTGAGCTGCTCCTGCAAACCATTTTACAAAAATCACGATTTCAGATCCAAAAAATAGCAATTTTTTTTATCTACGGGAGGCCCCCACCGGTCAGCCACCCCCGTCCGCTCCATCGAAGTCGTGGTATTTTTTGCGCGAAAATCGCACGCTTCGTGGCTACGGGGATTCGAACCCGCAATGTATATATTGGTTTTTGTTCCCCGCATATTATCCAAAATCGAGTTTAAATTGATTGTTTGAGGCCCTAAACGAATTTAAATGAAAAAGTTATCAACTACAAAGTTTCATAACTTTTTGAGATCTACAACTTTCATTTTGGTAGTTTCTCCATCCGAGATCGTTTACAAAATTTGAATTTTAAATTTGAGAAATTCAAACATAGTTTTCCTTGACAAGATGATTTCAAATCAAAACATTGTCAACTACAAAGTTTCGTAACTTTTCGAGATCTACAACTTTCGTTTTTGCGGTTTCTCCATCCGAAGCCGTTTGAAAAATTTAAATTTCAATTTTTTGGAAATTCAAACGTAGTTTTCCTTGACAAAATGAATTCAAATGAAAAAGTTGTCAACTACAAAGTTATATAACTTTTTGTGATCTACAACTTTTATTTTGTTCATCTTTTCTTGTGACTTTGTTTGAACAATTCAAAATTTGGATTTTAAAAAATATCAACTTGAAACAACATTTTAAAAGAGTAAATGATTTCAGCTAAAAAAAAGTCATCAACAACAAATCTGTAAAACTCATAAAGATCAACGACTTTTATTTTGACCATTTGTTCATCCTATATGGTAGACGAGTTTCCGTGGACCGTGGTATGTATATGTATCACACGTCTTCGTAGTGGCACATGAGCATGATCATCCACGCCAGGTAAAGAGTGGTTTTCTGTGTGGTGTAAGGACTTTTGACAAGATTTTCACCAAGCACGGTGTCTGTGGCTGGTGTGCAGTGTACAAACGTACGTACCGGGACCGGTGGAACGTGCATATATGTATATGCATGCCGTCCGTATGCGTACGTACGCGTGCGCAGTAGACGCCCCGAGAGCCGGCCCGATGATTCAGGATCTGTGCGTGCCGTCTAGGGTTCTCGAGTGGCCGACGATCATGCCTGGCCGGCGGCAGCGCGCTTCACTTTTTCACCGCGAAATCAAACGCCGGTCCCGGCGTGCGGCGTCGTCCATACCACCACCGGCCCAGGGGTCCTGGGTCCACGACGAACAACAAGCGGGCGCTACGCGCTAGCTACCCGTCCGTTTTGATCCGTTTCCACGCCGACCCTGTACGGAGGTGCACCGGCCGGATCGCTGGGACCGGCACGGCGAGGACGAGCACATTTATTGCCATGGTCTGACCGACTCTGGCTGTGAGAGAAGGGAGGAAAAAGATGTGACATTGCCCAGTCGCTACCTGCGGTTTCACCGGTACGCCTGATGGTTTTCTCGTACCAGGACAGTTTAAATAGCCGTGATAAGAAGAACGAAGTGAAGCCTAGGAGGGGATTGAATCCTTCAGGGCACATCCCCAATCCATGTGGACTTGCAGCCTGTTCGCTTGGTCGTAAATGATCGTAAATTATAAGTCAGAATAATATTTTTCTCTTACATCAAACCAGCCAGCAGTAATAATCCATGATCGTTTCAGCCGAAACGAACAGGCTGTTGATCCCCTCCAAACCACTTGGATTGGAGATAAACGAACAGGCCCTCAAGTGTTCGCGATTTCGTCTTCGTCTAATTGCCTATACATGTAGGTCAATACATGCAGTGTGTATTGGTATGTCCTTTTCCTGAAAGGTGAGATGGCCACTTAATCAGCTGAGCTACCCTCAGTTAATTTACATCCGTTCTGCAACAGTCTTATAACTTGTGAGAACTCATTCCTGAGACTGGTTTTAGGCTTGTTCACTTGCGTTATAATCCGTATTTTTCAGCTTGTTTTTCAGCCAGAACAGTGTTTTTCTCTCACAACAAATCAGCCGAAATAGTATTTCGGTTTGTTTTTTCAGCGAAGCGAACGGGGCCTTTATATTTATATTTTTAAAGACAAAGTTTGTAGGCTTTGCATCAAGTAGGCGCAGCTGCTGCTGGTTGTTGGCTCAGTACTTTGTGAGAGCCACATGTCGCAGCAGCAGCCGAAGGGGCTGTCAAAACTGGCAGCCGAACGGAGTGAGTAAAATTATACTCTCTCGACTTGAAACAAGACATTTAGGGCCTGACGGGTTGCAAGCCAAATTTTGGCAAGCCAGCTTTTTATCTTGTTTTGGTGTTTCTTTCTATCTCGGCTTAAGCGCTTAGTCGAGTAGTTGTTTTGTACTAAAACCTCTTTTTATTTTTTCCCGTCTAATAAAAATCGTGGCAAAGCTCTTGCCATCCTTTCAAAAAAACATAGGCAAGTTTCAAAGATTTGACATGCAATTGGTTTGGGACAAAAAACATTGGCAATTTCTTCTAAAATTTTGGCAAGACAACATTTTTCTCTCTTGCTGGTAGCAAACCAGTTACCAACCTTGGTTGCCTTGCCAAGATATTGGTTTACCCTAATATTGGTACACCCACATTTTGGCTTGCCTTGAAATTGGCATGGCAAAGATTGGTGCTCAACCAATCAGGCTCTTAGTTTTCCATGGAAAAAGACTTTGACTGATAACTACTCTACTAATACATGATGCTTGTGAATCTAATCGATGTCATTAGAATTGTGCTAAAAATATTTATGATTATTACTATCAATATATTAATTGCTAGTCAAAGTCTACCTTTTATATTAAAAAAGGCTTATGTTTCAATGAAACGAAATATGCCTTTCAATTTTCGGACGGAGAGTATCAATATGCATCCTTTTTTATTTAAAATAATTTTCACATTATTGGTTGGGTAGTGATCGGTAGACCACTTCTCGCAACCTAGGAAGTTTGACTAGCTGTCAGTGCCCAGCGCGCCCTCTGATCTCATTCAAAGTTTTAAACCTTGTGCTATCAGCCTGTCACTTACGACAAAACTGCCGAAGCCAGACATGGGGAGGCCTGTCTGTTTTCAGCCCAAACTAGTAGTACAACATTACTATTCGGCCCAAGGCCGCAAGAAACTGTCCTTCTTTGAGGATCGAGGCCCGCTACACTTAAGACGCCAATGTTGGGGATAATTCCTTGGCCCCGTTCGCTTTGCTGAAAAAACAAGTTAAAATACTGTTCCGATTAATTTATTGTGAGAGAAAATCACTGTTTCGGTTGAAAAAACAAGCTGAAAAAGATGGATTATAATGTTATCGAAGGCTATAACTATTCCTTGTAGTTAAATCTGAATGAACAGATTCCATTGTAAGAAACTTAACTAGTTAAACTAGCTCGCTTTGCATCCAAAATTATAGCATTCCTTTTCATAAAAAAATTATAGCATTCCTACCTATAAAAAAATATAGCATCCCTAAGTTAGAGCTTGATTGGTTGAGCACCAATCTTTGCCATGCCAATTTCAAGTCAAAATGTGGGTGTATCAATATTAGGGCAAGCCAACTTGGCAATGCAACCAAGGTTGGTAATTAGTTTGCTACCATCAAGAGAGGAAAATGTTGTCTTGCCAAAATTTGGAAGAAACTGTCAATGTTTTGGCACCAAACCAATTGCATGCCAAATCTTTGGAACTTGCCCATGTTTTGGCTTGGCAAAAATTGGCTTGCAACCAATCAGGCCCTTAGTCACTTAGGACATCCGCAATAGCTACTAGCTCTAAGACAACAATACTAATTTTTAGCACATAATTTTTTAGTATGGATAGGTCCATATGACACTCTCACGTAACCTTGAAATATGTGCAAGACCTTAGCTCTTGATTAAGAGCTAGATTTTTCTCTCTCTTCTATTAAAATATGATAAAAAATACTTAGACTTAGCTTAAAAGTCGATGGTTGAAGCTGTACTTAGACGCGGTACTGCGGATGCAGCACAAACGAGGAGAAACTCCATGAAGAATTGGCTGTCGCTTGCTTACAGGCTTTTAAGACTTATACTAATACTTTAAAAAATAATTCTTACAAAAACATTTTTGAGTTTTCACCTTTCACCTCTTACCAGTTACCAAATCACAGTATTTTCCAGACAGAACCCGTTTCAGGTATTTAAGTACGGGGGCTATTCAGGTGCTACGAAAAGCTGTACACGAAAAGAACATGACAGATGCACATGGATAGAAACTTAAATCAGCAATAAGGAACAAAGAGACGGGGACAAAAACAGTAACACCAGGAGAAGAACAAAATGTCTGCTTAAATGTCACAGCAGCAGCAGCAACAACAACAACAGTGTGACCCCTTAACTACAAATAAGAATGTTTCTCGTCAAGCATTCAACATGTACACCCACCAAACGCCTGTCTTGGAAGCAATATCTGTATATACAGCAGCAGTAGGCTTTACACGCTTTCGAAGACACACTACACACTTGATAGAGCGAGAGGACCAAGCAATCACTGGTTGACGGTTTTCACTTTCTGCTCGGTGTGACTTGGAAGGTTTCTTAGGCTCCGAAGCACCCGATGAGCTTCTTAGGAGCGTGGCCGGTGGCCCGGTACTTGGCAGCCATCTCCTCGGCCTTCAGCACCTCCTCACCGCGCTTTGCCTCCACCATCGCTCGCTTCTCTTCGGCTTCCTTGTGGATCATTGCAACCTTGTTCTTCATCTTCTCAGCATATTCAGCCTTCTTCTTTTCCAGTTGTTCCTGAACATGAATAAATCATAAGCTTTAGCTTAGAGGACATCACCTTTGAGGGGGTGGCACGTTAGTCTATTGGATCTATCCTTCTCTGAATTCCTCTATAATTGATTAATTGTTATCGGTGACTCAAGTCATTATGAAAATATATGAGCGATGCTTAAACTTAGTAAGTGCACATAACAGACGATAAAAAATGATCAATCCTTCTATTAAAAGGGCAAAGAAGAGAGCGAATGAAATTACCTCAATCTTCTTCAGTTGAGCTTCTATGTTTGCTTTCTTTGTGTTCTCCCATGAAAGAATAGCGGATACTTTCTTAGCAGCCCTGTCACAATTGTGCCCATTAATGCAAGTTAGGAATTTCCACATCACGTGCCTACGGATTATATCAACTTCTATTGGATATAAGAATCTAAATAGATGCGAAGTGTTTTCTATATGATATCTTCCAATTGACATACTATGTTATCCTGTTTGCCCTTATGCCTTTTCTCATTTTAGTTTGGATCGAGCAGAATTTTGTATCCACTGCCCTGGTTGTAATGCTAGAAAGCCTAGAAATATCATTCACAGAAACCTGTACTAAGCTTCCAATTCCTTTGATGAAAGAACTATAGATGACTGAAGAATGAAGAGCAAAAACTTCTACTGTAATGAACAAGTAATGGTTCCACTGAAAACGAGCTCAGGGGAATAGGAAAAGGTAAGAAACATACTTGTTCTCAGCTTTTGTCTTCTCATTCTCTTCCCATGCTTTGATCAAAGAGTTCCTCTTCTCTGTTTCCACCCTTGCAAGAGCGAGATCTGCAGATCATGTTTCAGGTTTTAATAGGCATAGTTGTACACTTGTACTCGACGACAAGAAGAAATTATTTAATAATTACCTCTGTCATTGGAGCCCCCTTGCTTCTCAGCGGCAGGCTTCTCTGGAGCAGGTTCATCTGCAACTTCTGGAAAGACAGAAAAATAGAGAATTTATGCCTGCTTTTGTGTAAAAACTAAATTCAGATTCATGAACAAATTTTGCTGAACAATTTAATATAGAAGAAATAAGCTAGCAAGTGGTTGTATGTTGATCAATGATCCAATCCAACCCATTCGCATCACATAGCAAAATGTAATTTATATGTCACTATACTATTATTATCTGTGCAGGAGCATGCACTTGAGATTGCCATGCACAACTTATTTGTATCCAGATCCAGGTCCTGTGTAACTGCTGCTTAGATAGCTTGTTTAGTGAGAATGATTGTAGATTTCCTTTCTCTTATTTGACTAGTACGTTCCTGCATGCGTAGGATTAAACTTATTCTAAACTACACGAACTACAAAGCGATAGTAACCACAGGAACCTACTCTAGCTCTTTCAGGAAAGGAATGACCAATTGATGACACAGTGTTCCAACTTTTAAGTATCCAATGGTCAGCTTTGTATGTGTGAGACATAATGTTCAGCTTGTATACAAGTATGTTGGCATCTTGCTAACTTTTTGTCCCTCGAGAAAATTATCTAGTTCCGGGCAATACGGCTTTGTAGGATTAATATAGGCAAATAACAAAAGATGGATCGGCATGATAAGAGAGAAAAACCAGAGAACAGCAGGTTGCCTGGTTTGCCAGCTCAAATTTGGCACCCATTGTGTTCTGTTGATTAGTTGTTCATGTTTTTGGCCATTTAAACAATAAAAGTAATTTTTTAAGGTAAACAAGCAGGACCTGTCATTTATTGAAAAAATAGGGGAAGTAACAAGGCCTAGGCCAAAGGAAAAGTAAATTGAATTACCAGGAGCTTATTTTGTCTGATTCCTCACTTGTGGGGATGAAACAGGATATTTCTTCAATTATATTAAAAAAGGAGTTTTTTCGTTCAAAAATATAAAAAAAGAGTTTATTTTGTATATCTGCATATAACCATTAGGGAAACCGAATGCTTCAGAGCGCATGATTTCATCATTTGCCCACCTATGCAAGGAACTGATGTACTACATCTTTGAAGACGCAGCAGCAACAGAAAGCATTGTCTAGCTTTTGTAAGCTGTGATGGGGCATGTTAATATGAGAGAAATATATATCTAAAGAAGTCAGTTAAAATTTATCATAACCTTGTCATGATTCATCTGACATTTTTTTTTGAGATTATCTGTCATTTGAATTTGCACTCACTAATCTAAATTGAATAACAAAATGGAAAAATAACAGAATTTGTCAATTCTAATACCAAAATAATGCCTCCATGATTTGAAGAAATAGGAAAGAATTGTCTGATAATCCAGGAAAAAAAAAATCCAAGCCCACAATGGAAAGTTGTTCTATATACGTCTTTGTTTTCTGTCTGATTCTTTTTCTCTCAGCATGAAACTTAGAATCTTTCTAAAGGATATTTTTTCTAGAACACAAGAGCTGCGCTTCATTATATTGAGATAGAAAAACGATGGGAATACATGCTGGCTCTAAGGCTTGCGTTATTTTTTTTGTTTGAAGGGAAACTGGAATGGATAAAGGTAGAAGAAAGATGAGAGCAGGCAAGAAAGGCCAAAAGGTGGGGAGAAAGTGAAGAATTCAGGAAAGTTTCAACTATCATGTTTTTCCGAAATAACATCTGAATTTTCACTAAAATCAAATTTCAAGAAGAGGAAATGCTACATGTCTAGGCATCAAACAACTAGCATACTTTTAGAACCCTCAAACTAGAAACCTACGATGGCCACGTCATCCTAAAATCAATTTTGTGTTTCGAAGTGAGCCAACGATTCCCAAAATGTTTGTAGACCTTTTTACCCCCGTACCCCTGCAGAACTTGACAAACCATTCCTCCAGAATCCTTGGCAGGCATGGCTACTACTCTCACAAAATGGGAAAACCATTTAGCAAGCTGGTAAATAATTCTGAAAATCGATGACTCGCAAATTTACTTCAGTTTTTTTTTAACGATAGAACTAGAGTACTTTAGAACTTGATCGCAGGTTTCAATATGATTTGCACCTCACAGCCTGACACAAATAGTTCTGAATTCCTAAGAGGAAAATTCTGTTCTCTACGAAAAGTAGTAGGTTCGACAAGACAACAACCAGCACCAAAGGATCATGCCGACAACAAATCAGGAACCCACGAAAAGAGAAGCAAACGAACTGTCAGGGATGACAAGTACCTAGTACTCTCACTGTACAGCTACCAGAAAGTACAGAGACGACGAACCAAAGCATAGAGAGGTCAGATGAGGAAAGTTTCTCAAAATTCCTAGCACATGAATTTAAAGCACAAACCAGCCAGCACCACCTTTCCATTCGCAAGCCTTCCAGTACATAGAGAGGGAGAATTAAGCAGAGCAGGGTGTACTCACTCTCGACGATGGCCAGGGCCTTGGTGTCGTCGGCCGGCGCCGGCGGCTTCTCCTCGGCGGCCGGCGGCTCGGCCGCGGGGATGACGGCCTTCTCCTCGGCGACGTCCTCCTTGGCCGCCTCCGGCTCGGCCTCCGTGGGCGCGGGCGCCGCCTCGGGCTCCTTGTCCTTGGTGACCTCCACCTCCACCTTCTTGGCCTCCTCCTCAGCCATGTTGCTGTCTGGTAGGAGAAGCTTAGCTGTTGCTGTTGAGTGTGTGGGGGTGGGAGCTAGCTGTGCCTGTGCGTGTGCGTATGCGTGCGAGCGTGGTGGCGCGTACTAATAGCAAGCGGTTTAACTGTTGGCCGTGTCTGCTGGACTCTGGACGAAGCTGGAGAGTAGTTTAGGCCGCAAGAGAAGGGAAGGCAGTGGAGGCTTTGGTGTGTTTCTGAATTCTGACAGAAGAGGGCCTCGTATTCTCCCTGGTTCAGGTTCCTCGGTTCAGGGACGGTTTTATAGCCCGGACTCTGTCATTTGCAGCCTTGCAGTTGCAGGTGGATGAGTAATACTGATACGTTACTGTATTTTAAAAGATACAGAAAATGCTTAAACTGTCTTAAAACTTTCTTTCGCGTACTTACCCGATTCAGTATGGTTGATGCAATAATATACAAAGATTTGGGGGTGTCCGCCCAAGATCAGGAGAGCGAGACGCGCCGTAACCGTAATCCATCATTCATTCCATCTAGTGTGATTTTTTTTTTTTTTTAAAAAAAGGAGTCGGCAAGGAAGCCATGGGCGCGTAGGTGACGGCGACCCGGGCCGGCGCATCATGGCATGGGCCCGCCGCGGGCGCAGCGCGTTGGCTCCTCCTCCTCCCAGCGCAATTGCGCTGTGCAGTGACGAGTTGGTCCAGCACCCTGCACCCCCACGCACGCCCCACGGCGCCCCCGCGGCCCGCGCCGCTGGGCGCTCGGATCCCGTGAGCGCGGAGACTCTGGTGGCCGTTGCAATGCACGAGCACGACGCGCGTCGCCACCACCCATGCCAGCAACGTTCGTTTCGTTCAACGTCGCCGTCGTCGGCCCGTGGGCACTGTTGACAGAATGACAGACCACGGACGTCCATCCAATATACTCGCCGGGCAAACGTGTGGCGAGACCACGGGGCTCGCTCGAACGTACTACCAGCGCGGCATCAATGTGGGCGGCGACGTCGCTAAGGACCATCGGTGATCATATGCTTCCGTTCCTTGCATCGTGCGTGGAGTTTAAAGCCGGCCGTTCGCCATTGGGCCGTCCCGTCCGTAGCAGTGTAGCCTCGCCGAATCGTTGTTCCTATCTTATCTATCGGCTACTAGCCTACTAGTCCTACGTCGCCGGCGCCGGGGCCCGGACGGGAAGCCCCAGCGTTCCGGGTGTTCCCCCCGTGGAGCGGGGGCGTGCGCGCATCTGTCCGCGCCCGCCCGCCCGGATGCCGCGGCCGACAAGTGTACTGCGCGGCGCTTTCGTCACGGGAAATTGCGCGGTTTTGGGCGGTTCCAGCGCGAGCTCGTCCACATGCCCGACGCCTGCCGCGGCATGGACCACGGGTCAACCGTCCACGTCCGGGGGAGGCTCGCTTACCTCCTCCTCCTGTTCCTGTACGTACCGTATAACTGGGCTTCTAGCCTTCTAGCATTTCTTTGTGGGAGTACGTCCTCGTATTCCATGACGAGACCTGCAGGAGCAGGACAAATACGCTCGTCCGGATACACTTTGCGGTTGCGGATCCTGTCCTAGTTTGGAAGTACCGGCTCTGCAAATACCTTTAGCTGCTTCATTGTATCGTGTGAATTGTGATGGTCGTATCGTATCCATGCCAAATGATTGCGGCGAAGCTCCTCGGTTTTTTCAGCTAGGAAGCAAAACGCACTAGTTTACTTACTGGATTTGTTTTGATTATTCATACATACCGTTGGCAAGTCATAGGATATATAGCTGGCCAACTAAGCCTTGTCGTTGTAATAAGGCAGGGGGCCCGGCCAGGCCTCGGTGTGCAACTGTCCAACAATGTGCTGGAGCAATGATTTAGCAGGCAAATGGACAAGAAGCCAACATGCCTTGCCTTGCTGGTGACCGGTGAGTGCAGCCACAGCTACGCGATGCGTCCTGCGTCCAGCTGTTGCAAACGAACTCCGGCTGAGTTAACAGAGAGTGGCCGAATATTATAAGCAGCCAGAAGAAACATGGTTCGACCTTTCCTATGTACGTCTTAGAACGGCGCCTACGTATGGAAATCATCAGGAATACGCACACATCATCAGTACATCACATGACAAGTCTCCTCGTATATACATACGTCATCCCTCGCTGTCTTCATGTTGCTGTTCTCCTTCTGAAAGACTCTGAAACCTCGCTGTCTTCTTTGTTAACCAAACTGACCGAAAAGCAGGGCTGCTGTAACCGATCCCTGGTTCGTTACCAACATGTTCGCAGGTTAGCACATGGAAACAGAGCTAAAGGGGCTAAAACACAGTGATATAGGCACGCGTCAGATTAAAGGCTACGGCTTGACAGGCCTGATTTTCCTTGCCACTAATATACTCTGATTTTTCCTTAACACTAATACTGAAGCACACACAAGCAGGCAGGCAGGCACGCAACCTCTTCTTGAAAAATCTTGCATCCACATCCTCCTCACGGGCCCCGCCGGCGTGTTGGACGCATCGCGGGGATAACGTGGCTCGACAGCGACGCGTGTCGGTAACCCACCAATCCAGGCGTCGTTCTCCTTCTCTGCTAATCCTTGGCAAACATGCGTATTTAAATCGGTTACCTTCGGCCAAAGATCCGTGCCGATACGCTGCAGACGTTGCAGCCACAAACCCAGCAGCCATTTGGAAATCATCAGGCTCTACCTCATGCCTCCAAATCCCTGTCAGGCAGGCTCTCACCTACATTTGTTGGCTGTCTGGGCCTGATACCCATTTGAAGTCAAGGGAGGAGGATCGTTTTCAGCTGCGTGCGAGCCATCACCACCTGGCTCCCCAACTTGTCCTGGTGCCTTCTGGAGTTTTTCTTCTTGTTCCCTAACTCTTCTGACGTCCTGATGACTGCACGATGTTTAAAATATGTGCGATTCCGTGTGCCTGAGGGGTTGTATTTTGCTTTTTCTTGATAAAGACGTATGCGTTCTTTATCTTCAGGCTAGGGTTTACAGGTGCAGGAGGGATGGGCGCTCTGATCTGGAGCTGGGTGATGGTTTATGAGCCAAGTCACCTAGACGGCTGGACTTGCATGATTCCCGGTACGGTCGGTTCTTTATGACTATGTATTGCTGGAGATTCTGCCAACAGCAAAGCTTTCCAAACGGAAACTTTTAGTTGTAGCCAACAATGTCTCAACTACGTTCCTGAAATGCGTACTGAAATATACTTCTGTATACATATAGTACTGAACATATTATATGTTGTCTGAAAAAAGACAGGTCAGGAACTCAGGATCCAGTGGTTCAGGTTGGAGCGAAGTCTCTGCAACAGACAGTTCCTCAACGAGTCGGACTGCAATAGTAGTTCACAAAACGGCCATTTGAACACAGGCGTATGATTCATGGATGGGTCATGGGTGCTGTGCTTTCAGGTTGACATCTCTGAAGCATCAGTATTGACGTAACCAGCCAGTGTTTTCAGCTTCACTTGCCAAGTGATCTGTACCTGATTTGCAGTTGTGAAACGACTGGTCTTCTTGCTCACGTTCCTGAGATTTGTTACAGTGATCAGGTGAAGACCCTTTTCTCAGCTTTATATGTTTTGCCTCCTTTTTCCTCACGAGATTATGATAAAGATCTTTTCAGTCAAAAAGGGGTGATAATCTTCACGTTCACGTTTTACATCAAATCCTAGTCGAGAAAGTGTTCAATTCATGCAAAATATCTACAACTTTTCTTGCAGACGCCGATCCATGTGGCGAAGTTCTTGCTTTCATCAATGACCAAACAGGACATCTGCGTCCCATTTGCATGGTTTCCTTCGGCGAGTACATAAGCTGATAAGCACCAGCGAGTAATCGGATATTGTTTGCTGGAAAGCTCACAAATGACAACACACGGACAGGTTCAGAACCCACGAGAATAAAGGTCACTGGCTGTCCCGTTAGTCCAAAGCAGATGAGAGAAAAGAAGGGCTTGTTGGCCCATCAGAGTTCTTTCATCACTGCAAAACCAAAAGCAGGTGCATTATGAGATGCTTTATCCGTTGTTTCAGCACAATTGGCCACACTCGAAAGAACTGAATAACCTAAGAACACGAGGCAGACAGGCCATGATTCTCAGAAGGTGACACACTGTCAAGAATCTAGCAACTGAATAAATATTCTTAGACATTTTGACCCTCTAGTTAGCGTAGAGTTATTTCGAAATAGTACTGACTAATAGAACATAACACCACAATTGAAAACAAAAGGAGAAATTTCTTGCTTTCGAGGTCTAGCTAACTGTAACTGGTGTATTTTCCATTTCCAATGGGATAAGCGGAGGAACTATATGCCACCTGCAGAATATATGGACAGTATTTGTCCTTTTAACTTGGTGGCCAATGTTTTCTATTCTTATTTTCGGGCCCCGATGATTCCTTTTCCTTTACATAAGATAATGGCAAACAACGACAATGCCATGATGGTGGATTCGGGTTTATTGCAAAAATCGGAGGAATGCTGTGTGCTTTACAGTTAACTAAGTACGCACGGCGACCCGACATGAATGTCATGTCCTTCTCAAACTGACATGGCCAGAAGAGTATGCTTACTCTAAGCGTTTTTTCTTTTAAAAAAACGTATTACTCCAATAAGCGTTTGCAATAATCAATCAGAGAGTGGGTGTGTGAATGATAATTACCTTTTTCGTGTGTACCGATTCCAGGGGAGTTATTTATGCATCTCAGATTTGCTGAGGTCACACGATCTGCTTGGAGTACCAACTTAATCTGTCCTAACCTAACAAAGTAGCACAATTCAGCCAGTTGAGCACTTACACGGTTATAAGAGCGCGCTTGTTTCATCAGTACATAAGGGAGGGTCCGAGCGTTCATGTACAACTTATTGACCCCTCTAGGGAGCCGTTAAGGCGTGTTGTATTGAACATTTTTCTCTACCTTAACACAAAGACGCGCAAACTTTTTGCGTGATCGAGAAAAAACGCTCTTGTCTTGAGTACAAAAATCTTCCTCATGATCACCTCGTTATATGATTTACAGCTAC